AGCTATAATAAAAATAGTACAAAACAGGGCAACTCCCTGTGGGTGGTTCCTAGCCTAAGGCTCAAGGAAATCTTCACATCTTCTCTTACAGTAACAATACAGAGGAACTACAGCTGTAGCTGCAGTTGCAGAACACCGTTCCTGCCCCTCAAAACGGCACTATTGTTCCAGAATGAGCCACAAAGGGGTAAAACCTGACTCAGCCCAGGGAAGCAAGGTAAAAAAGATTGTTGGCTGACCAGGGAGGCAAAGTAGGGCAGAAAAAGATGGGCACAAAGACCAACCAGCCATAAGACTGCTGCCCAGACAGGAGACTACATGGTTACAGAAAGGAAAAATACCACAATACAAGACAGGGAAAACTGGGGTGCAACCATAAAAAGGATGGGAAGATGCTGAGGAAGGCACACACCATGAGGGATGCACCTTTCAAAGCACAGTGCTTTGACACAGTGACTCGTGCCATGTCCGACAGGGCCATGGGAAGGGGGTTAGGAAAGCGGCAGTGGTGGAGAGCTTGTGACAGGGTCCTTCAGGGAAAGCAAAGGGAGGTGAGGAGGGGAGCCCCCGGCAACTCTGATATGTGGAAAAAGGAGAAGATACAACTTCAGGGCCTGGGAATGCCCTTACAGGTCAAATATGTCAGATATATGAGATAATAGAGGGCAGCTCAAATCTGACTTCCATGACTCCAAGAAAATAATGCAGGTGAAGAAAGCAAGGAAGAAAAGAGGTAAGCCAGGGGCCCGCTCAGCCTGGGCACACTGATCACTTAAGACAGAGAGGCTCCCCAGCACGTCTGAACCTAGGCACTGGGAAGAAGGTGGCCTAAGCTGGGCTCTTGGGAAGGTTCCTACATGACTCCAGAGACGTAGTTTGGGAGTGCTACCTGCAGGGTGGCTAGGGACAATTCCAAGAGCCCGAGGGAAGTTAGGGGGTCACTGGCATACACTGAAGGGCATTTAGGGGGCAGCTATTGACCGGCACCTAAGAAGCAGTTAGGTATGGGGATCCCTGAGAAGCATCTGGGGGTTTGGAAGTCCATGAAGAACTGCAGGGGAAGCTGTTGTCAGCAGGTTTCCGAGGTGCGGTTTGAGGGTCGCCGGCATGTCCCTGCGGGGCGGCTGGGGAAGGGGAAGCGAGAAAATGGCCGAGTCCGTGAGGGGCGGTGGGGGCTGTGGGAGGGGATGGCGGGCAGGTCCCGGAGAAAACGGGGTGGGTGTGAGGTGATCGGTGGCAGGTCCTTGAGGGGTGGATGCGGGGGACGGGGCGTCACCAGCAAGTCCCTGAGAAGCGGGAGAGTGGAGAAGGAATCGCCGGCAGCCCCCTGAGGGGCGGGCTGGAGGAGCCCCCCGGCAGGCAACCGAGAGAGGTCTGGGGGGTCCTGGGCAACTCCAAAAGAGGCGCACTGGGACCGCTGGCGGGCATTCTCCGCGGCGGAGGGGCAGGCCATGCCGGGCGGGAGGGGAGGCGGTGGCGCTGAGAGACGCGGAGGCAGAGCCGGCCGCAGCGCTGCCGGAGCCCGAGGCCCTGCCCGCGGCCCCCGCCCGCCGCACGCACCTTCTGGCGGATTTGCCCGGACGTAGAGACTTTGCGGATGAGTTTCTGCGGGGAGCCCGGCTCCTGCTCCGGCTCGCTGTCCGACGATTCCTCCGCCGCGGCGCTGGCGGCGGCGACCACCCCGGCCTGGGGCTGCTCTGCGCCCGCCGCCGCCGCCATGCTGCACGGTGCGGGGCGGCGCGGCCGGCGCCCCCTCCCGCCGCACTCTGCAGCCGCTCGCCCGTCCCGTCGCTGCGGCGCCCTCTGGCGGGGGCCGCGCGCAATGGCGCATGTCGGAGGGGAACCGCTGAGGCGAAGAGAGGCGGGCCCAGGCAGGCTGCCGGCCCCGGCCATACACACGCACCCCGACACGGGTGCGAACGGGCACGGTCCCGAGCATCGTTCACACTGGCCCCTGCCGCGCCCGAGCGCACTATGATTGCTTGGAGCCAGAGAAAAGGGTTTCAGCTCAGACGTCGGGGAGGTGGTGAGTCCAAAAGTTTGAATCTCAGTGCCGAGCACACGAGGTTGTTTCCAGCACTACAATTGTTCCATTTAATAAAACACTACCTAAATCCTCCTCTCCCTAGGTAAGATCTGCTGTACTAACCTCCTGCAGACAAAGGTACTTTGCACCTCCTCCACTTCACGCATCTTTTTAATCACATACAGCACCAAAACTGGTTCCTGCTGCCAAATGCCTCTGTATTTTGCAGTAGAGAAACACTCTTGCCTGACTAGGCCTATCACCACACCATTCCTCATGGGTTCCATAAGGTAACACCACATTAGCTGCAGTCATGGGACACTACCGAGCATGTCAGCTGGGATTTCATGAAGATGTTCCAGGGGGAAGCATCTGTCACCAAACCAGTCCATCAGCAGACAGCTAAAGCACAGAGGCCACTTACGTTTCAGAGATGCTATCGCTACCAGGGCACATCCCTCTCCCAGAGCTGGCAGGCTTTCTATAAATGGAGTCCCACCACATCAAAGGCAGAGGGTCAGGAAATTGGATCACTCCCCCCCCGCTGTAAACAGGGGCAGCAGGCTACAGGTCTTACTTGGTGGAAGAGCAACACAACATCAGAACCAGAAGAAAGGGAAGATAAAAGGCAAACAGTTCCTGCTAGAGACCTCTTTTCTGCTGACTGAAAGGCAGGAGAGTACAAGTCTAACCTGGCCTGCAGCAGGACATGGAGGAACCAGCAGAAAGCCCTTGCTCTCTGAGTAAATGAGCAAACATCCAACATGGCTAAACAAACGGTCAATGTCTGAAACTGCTTTCCTAAGGCCAGGCAAAAGAACAGGTTAACAACCATTTCAACTCCTCCCTGCTGCACAGCAGAGTGCACTGTGATTTTGTTACACAGCTTACAGAAGTCATCACCACAGATGAATTTGAGAGGAATTTGAAAGTCAATGAGAGGTACCTCAACAAGGATGACACAGAAGAAGAAAAAAGGAAAAAGAAAAAAGGCATCAGGCCTCTAAGTTTGTTAGTCCCATACCTATGGGTGCAGTAGCCAGGAACACTGAAGCAAACAGCTCTGTGGAAGAAGCCACACTTTGAAGCAATACTAGAAGACTGTCGTACCTCTTCTTAGTATCTTTAAATCCTAAACACTAGCTCTCCAAAACCATCATATTCACAAAGAGCAATTTGTTCAATTCTTACTGCATTGGTGTGTTCTTCACAAGCCACAAAGAACTTGGTAATAAAAATGCCAGGACAGTTATTGGAAAAGCCTGGCCAGAAATCCAAGTGAAAAATGCCTAGTCCTCCTCCAAAAGCCAAAGTTGAAATCGTACAAATTACACTGACCATAAACACCTGAAAATGGCCACAGGGTCTCTTCAGCAGCAAAGCACACAGTGCTTAGAAAAGAGCAGAGCAAACATACCAACTCTTGCAATTTCATCTAAGGTGAGACAATTGTGACTAATGGAACCAAACACAGTTCCAGGTGGTACTGGGTGAGAACACTGATGGAACTGTGAAATCAGCTGTGGTCTTAATTCATCTTAATCGAGACCAGTTTACAGAAACAAACAGGAGAAGGCTTAACTTTTAACCCAATCTATTTGTATTAGAGGCCACACACAAAGCTGTTTGGTTAATGACTTTGGCCCATCTGTAAAAGTAGGGCTTGTAACCATGATGAAGTCTGTAAGAAAAAATAAACAAAACTCTGCTCAGAAAACAAGGCCTGTATGTAGAGTGATTCTGCAGAAATACCAGAGTGCAGCCCACACTTCTTCAACTGCTTTAGCTTGTCACAGTTACCAGTAGTAACCTAAGCCAAAGAGAGGGCAAGCTCGGTTTGTCAGCCTCTGCAGTGTGAAGCAGGACGGAAACGCATCGTGCTTGCAGCAGGATTTCAGCAGCAGTCCCACTCCTGCCGGGAGGAAGCAGACATCTCAATGTCTCCTTCATTTTCTTCTCTGTGAAAAGCGCATCGTTGTTCACTAAGTGAAAAGCTCTTAATTCCATTTTCCGGTGCATAGGGGGGAAAATTAAGTTTATATTAAAAATGTAAGGCCCTACATTCAGGCTTTCCAGATTTAAACCAGAGACATTGAAAAGGAGATTTAGAGCAAAAACAAGAGAAAGAAAACACCAGTTGTTTTACATGCAAAATGTAATTAGCTGATGCAACTCACTTCAGCCAAAATCTAAGTGAGATTCAGGAAAGGGTTAGACATTTACATGGATAATGAGAATATCCAGATCAACAAGAAAGAACAAAGTTTGCAGAATACAATCTCATTTCTTAAAGCATAACCCAACCTCTGGAAGATGTATGTTGGAAAAAGCTCTTCAGGGCAGGCTGCCCCGTAATTTCCTCCTTAATTTTACTGCACCCTCTTTTGAAGCACTGTTGCATACAGGAAATTAGATTACATACAGGATCAGTCTGGACTTGCAGTTTGCTATTTGGGGTTATATAAAGGGAGATCTGTTAAGGAATTAATAGTGCACATTTCTCTCATCTTTAATAATGAGGTTGTTAAGCACATTGCTAGAAAGCTAATATTGTATCTCAGCATTATAGCTGCTGTGGAAGATAACTTGCAAGAAATTTAATGGTACAGAAAGTGGATGTAAGCCACAGTAAAGGGTGCAAGGTCAGTGAGGATATTCACTAGATGAGTTTGGTAACGCATAAACAAAAAAGCAACCAAAAGGAAATAAAATCAGTTTTGTACAGTCCACTGAGAAACTTCAGTAAATCACCAAGGGCTGCAAGCCAGCCTTCCAGACTAGGATTTGGTTCACTAGCATTTCAAAATTAAGAGACTTTTTGACACAGAGTAAGTCTAGGCAGCAGCACCATCAGCAGTGCTGAAAGCAACCAAGCTTTTTATTAGGTAGCTCTGAAAGCAGGAGTCATGGTGCAACAGCCTTCCCTGTCCTCCTCTGGTAGCGCAAGTAAGCATCAGGTCTTGAGTTTGCTACATTCCTCTAAAGGTGAAACTTTTAATAAGCAATAGAGATAATTTTATGTCCACTGACCTCAGGGCTGATCCCTGGAAGACCATGCATGCACTGAGAACATGCAGTTTACTAGAAACCTAGGTCCTAACATTTCTAATTGATGCCAGACTACGTATCTTCTCTGGCAGCTTGTTCTTTTAGTCACTCATCAGCTGAGGACATATTCTTGTCTTCATCATCAGCCATATCTTTTATGCCTTGACGAGCAAATTCCTCAAATACCAGCTCTGCTTCACTGAAATGGAAAAAAAAAAGAAACCAAACCACAAAGTTACCATTTTTTTTTTATACCAGGAGACTAAAGGCAACAGATAGGAGGAAGAAGAGAAACTTGGAGTAGGCTCTGGTAATGTTTCCTTTGTCTTCAAAGGGATTTAGATCACATTCCCACAGGCACCATCTTAATTAGTGGTATTCTAGCTAGCATGAAAAGCAGTTGATTGAGCAAGTCAGGACAGAAACTGAGAAGGTTTTCATCTGTACCAAATCACATCAATTCCAGCTAAATGTTTATCAGCTAGTTGAATAGTCTGCAGCCTGAAAGAGTCTTTGTCTAGATACAAAATGTGAAACCTTTCATCCTTATTCCTTCTGTAGCAAAATAGGGCACATGGTCAAGTGTATTGAGTTCCTGAAACTCAGATTTAGAGAATATCAGCTGACCACAAACACATTCCTCCCTCCAACTGTGAGGCAAAACCATGTTCTCTTAAACTAGTTTCACATGGTCAGTCATAGCAGTTCAACTGATCAGTAATTTGTCAAGACATAATAACTTTCTCACTTTGGAGTTAAGTGTACTCTGTGGACCCCATGGATTTTCAGACAGTTTCAAGGACTTTTCAAAGAGTCAATTCACAACCGCAGCTAGAACGTGAAACATTAAAAGAAACTTACCCATCCTTCCCTGCAGTCATCAGCATGCAGTACAGGAGGAAAAAAGATACACCAATTAGTTAGAACAGTGGATGCTAAAACCAGTAAAAACTTCTAAACTGACAAGCCAGAACAGTGACAAGCAGAAGGATTTGCAGCAGGACAAGGAGAACTCCAGGAAGTCTCAAAATGTGCATACGTGCACCTGATGCAGCAAAACCTGATCTCCCAAACAGGAAAGCAACATTGCCCAAGACATCAAAAGAGCTAGGAAACAAAGACAGATTTTCACGTTTATGCTTGCTAGTGATCACAGCTGAGAGACACACCTGTGCACACATTTCTACTCAGAGATGACAGTGCATGCATGACCTGATGTTAGTTTTAGTTGGTCTGTCACTGTAATGTAAGTAGTCAGCTGATACGAAGATGATGTTCAATAAACATAAAGGTATTAAAATCAAACAGAGGTCAGAATACAGGAAGGCCTAGGTGGTCTCTCATTAGATAGGTTACATGCTTGAGGCAATACCCCTGTTCATCTTTTCCTAAATATAATCCTAAAACCTTTGGCACATGCACTTCTTCAATGAGATCTTTGCTAACCACACCACAAGCAGGTAGCAAACTCTGCTTGCCAGCAGGATTCTTTGGAAGCTGTTTCAGCACAGCCTAAAATAAGCAGAGCAGCCTGTATCGCAGGGATGAAATAGGGGTGGGGATTTTTTTCTTCTTGTTCTCACAGTTACTTTAGCAAGTAACAGTCACTTCATTGGCTTACTTCTCATGAGCTGAAGTCATGGAGCAAGGTGCACCTAGTCTATCGTTCTACTGAAGCTGTCTGGGATTTGAGATGCTTCAGTGACTAGATAACTCACTACCTTGAGAATTCCCACCCACAATGGACACTGAAATCAAGGGCAAGAAGAGGTGACTGGCACTGCTGGAAAAGTCAGCATTAAAAGCATGCCAAATGGGGCCACTCTGGCCAAAATGCCTCAAAGGATGGATCCTGTAAAGACCTTCATGATGGTGCCCATCCAGACTCAGAAAGGATGTTCTCCTCTACTCACAGAAGCCAAGATGAAGTCTGGAAAGTCTCAGGGCATGCATGCTTGACTGAAATGGATTTAAAAAATATTCATTCATATTTTAAAAAAATGAAATATTTAGAACTTTTAAAATTTCCAACACATAGAGCATCACTCTCATTTAAATTTTTCTCCAATTTCTATTCTTTAAATAGTCTGCTCTCTTTCCCCACTTTGAAGTACATTCATTACTATGGGAACAGTGACATCAGTGGTGTGGGTGAGGCTAAGTGAGATACCTATCAAAGCAGTTTGAAGCCAATTTTACAAAATGAGTATTGTTTCAGTTAGACATATACTTGTCTGTCAGATAAATTATTACTGAATCAGTACATGGGTAGCTGGGAGTAATGTTTATCATACACACGAGATGTATTCAAAGATGCACTACTTTACCTTCAGGCTGCTATACTACATCCCATGTGCTCGTTAAATAGCAACATTTGCAGCTTAGGCCCACTCCACATAGTTGTCTTGCTGTCCTGTGGCTTATTTAACATTGTAACAGGGAAAAATTCTCAGGAGCCTGATAATGGGAAGACTTTCCTTTTTTAACTGCCATGCCAGCAGTTGTTTTAAGGGTTGGGATGGGAAGGTGCTGTGTTCAAGGAACAAGAAGGCTCCAGAATGGCATCATACTCTCTGCAGAGGGTTTTCTGTAAGCTTTTATTAGGCAGCCACAGAAATGATTCCGTATAATTAAAGTTGTGGCATATGGTAATTTTCATTATAAGCTTGCTTTTAACCTCTCCTAACTTCGGGGCCGGGGGGGGGGGGGAGTAAGCACTGTTATTTTTCAAGACATTCGAGCGCTTTAAAAATTCTCGAATTTCTCAAAGTTACAATACCAATATAGGGCAGGCATAACTTTACTATTAAAGGAACAAAGCATTTATGGGTTTCTTCAAACCACCCCTTTCATGCAAGTTTAACAAGGAAGCAGATAAATGACCATTTGTTGAACGACAGCCAAAACAAAGGCCAGTATCCAAGACATAGGCCCACAAAATGTAAAACATCAGGAGAAGGGCAGGAAAACCCCAGACCAAAGAACTCACGCTGAGACCACAGCCTTGAGAAAAACCCAGCAGGAGCTTCTGGGCTAACTGCTGATCGGGAAAGGTCTTGGAAGCATGAAGAGACACAGCCCAGTTTGAATCTATCTTTAAAAGAAACAGATCTCTCTACATTTTTGTCAACAGGCGGAAAAGACAGACTTGACAATGTGACAGGAGCTGCTTTCACTGAAAATAACCACCTGTGAAACACAAGGGTACAAAAGCAGTTACAAAACCAGCGCACATGAAACATGCAAAATGCTGGCCTACAAGAAGACCAAGACAAGGAAGCTATAAATAAATATGGGAAAGGAAAGGTAGCAAGCCATTCCTTTTTTGTCTCCTCCAGGCACAGAGACCAAGCAAGCTGCAACAGCCATAGACTCTGAGAGACCTGCTTTTTACCGAGTGCTGAATGCTGCACGGCTCACTCACAGACAAATAAAAAGGGCAAAGTAATCTGCTGTGAAATAAAGTACACAGAAGTTCATCACACTAACCCCACTTTGACCCCCCAAAAATTAAATCATTTTCTTGAGAAGCTTCTCTTTTTGAGGTTCTCTACACTCAAACCAGCCCTACATGATTAAATATACTGATGCTACACATGTTTTAGTTATCTTTGCCATAAATCATCTTGGCTAGAGAAAGGAAAATTATACTGCTCCACCGCAAGGAATAAATCATAGTATGCAGTATCTTTTCATCCCAGTTTAGCTTTGACTCTGTAAGATGGTTTGACTTCTTTCCTTTTTCCCAGCTGCGCCTTAAGATGAAGTGAAAGTCAAGTCAGCGGGGAATGCAATAGGCAAACTGGTTGCTACTGACTCATCCAAAAAAACAAAAGGGAATGGAAAAAGAAGATAAGAAGTGATGGCAGAACTCCCTGTGCATGCACCCGTCTACACCCACTGCAGAGGCTGCGGAACAAGCCAACAAAGAAAAAGCCCATCTTTTGGGGGCTTTGAGAGCCTAAACACTGTTGAAGCTCCATCTCTGCAATCAAGTCTTGATTCGCTTGATTCCAAATTAGATGGTGTTTCACTAATGAAACACATTTTATTTCTCAGAGTTTACGAGCTAAGGTGGTAGAAAAAAAAATTTAAACCCACAAACTCACCATTAGGAAGCGTGATTAGGCACAGTGCATGGAAAACTATAAAGCTAAAAGTAGTTTACATTTACCAGCTTCAAATGGGAGGCTGTCTTATTCCCTATGATGAGCTCAGACACCACATTCCAACACAGTTTTCAAGTCAGCTGTGCAGGCTTCAGAGGAATTTGCTGTTGTGTTACAGTATCTTTTTTATGAGAAAACATTATTTCTGGAGGTAATCATTTGTAAGGCTTTCCCATGGGAGCTCCTGAAAGGCTGAAATTTTGTTTCTCATAACTGAAAAAAATACAAGTTTTCAGTTTACAAGAAACCTGAAATTTCAACCTGTGCAAAATACATGGAACCACAGCTGTCTTCTGACAGCTCCTAGAAGACTTTGATGTAGCAAACAATACATGGGTTATATTGTTTTGTATTCTCTTTGGTTAAGAGAATGGGTTGGGGGAAGCAATCTGAGAAATATCGCAGTTCATTTCCCTTGTAAAGTCTTCTACCCACATCATTTTGAGTGTCCTATATAAAGGAGTATATCAGCCATCCTTTGAAATGATGTTTTAACCGAAAAATTACTCCCATTTTCCTCATATTACAAATACTTATGCCAGAATGATCTGCCTGAAGCATAAGTAATAAAAAAGGGATGGTGGCACTGTTAACACCAAAAAATGTCATGTAAAAAATTCACACCATTCTAAAAATATAAAATCTACAGTTGCCTAAGTCTTTGGATGATCCTTGTTTTAAGTTTTCAAGCTTTCATAGAATCATAGAATCAGCTCGATTGGAAAAGGCCTTTGAGATCATCAAGTCCAGCCTTTACCCCAGGACTGCTAAGGCCACCACTAAACCATATCAGTGGGGGCCTCATCTTCACAGTTTTGAACACTTCCAGGGACAGCAATTCCACCACTCCCCTGGGCAGCCTGTTCCTTTCCTCCATATTCATGAAAGCTCCTAAGCTGGCCACCCAGCACCTCTGCCATATGGGGCTCCCACTGACACTAAATGGCCCTCACCAGACACTGCTCCTGGGGCCACTAGTGCCACCCCTAGCTCCTCATCAAGTACCTGGCAGGGGGATTGCTGCAGGGAAGTGTGAGGGAAATGCTTCAGCATGTACAAGCTACCAGAAGAGACAGAAGACCCCTGCCAAAGCAGGTCTCCCAATGAGGCACCCATATGAGATCAAGTGTGCAGCTATCTCAGTGTTTTGCTGGCAGAGCTTTGCTGACCTGCACCATGAAAGGGAAACCCCCAGTGTGGGCACAGCTGTGCCAACAAAAGCATTTGCTTCACAGCAGCTTCTCCAGGGTGATCCAACCTTATTAGTCCTATGGACCAATCCTGAGGACCCAATTTCCACTTCACAGGACAGCTGGGGGCAGGTCTGGGCTGTGTGCTGCTGTGGGGTGTTGTGTGCTACTCCTCAATGATGTGGCTGTCTCCTTTGCAGCCACAGCATAAAGGGGTAAGAGGAGAACAGATCTTGTGGATTTGTCCTGAAAGTGCTTCCCAGACTCATTGTGCTACTCTGATGGGCGGCATAACATGCATTCTCCTATGAGCATGTTCTGTCTCTGTGCTAGCAGGCCATGCTGGCACAGCTCACAGCAGGGCTTCTCCCAGCGAAAGTGAGAATATCCTAAAATGCAGTTCTTAGAAGAGTGAAGAAACTTAATTCTGCTCACTCAGGCAATTCCGTAATTAGCAAACACGGATTCCTAACCAGAGCAACTGAATGGAGAATGGATCACCAGTCTCTCCTCATCACTCCCACTTGATTCCTCCAACAATTTCATACAATAAGGACTCAAGTCCTTTCTAATGCTTCCAGTATAGAGCAAAGCACCTGTCTCAGGATAGCTCTTCCTACAGGGCCCACCATTGTCCAATGGTTTCTTAGAAACAGCAGCTTTAGGTAAGGTTGGGGCCAAAGAGAAAATTAAAAGAAAGAAAAAGAAAAGTAACACAGAAGCAGCCATGGGGTTCTGTTTGAAGCCCATGTAACTCTGTCCAAATACAGAGGGCAGGACAAGAAGACCTATCTACAACAACCCCAAAACTGAAATGCTGGCATAGTGGGTTTTTTTTTGTTCAGTAGCTGCCTCAGATTCAGGATTCAGCTGCCTCAGGAGCTTCTGATTCAGTGCAGGCACCTTGCAGTTTCTGTATGTTCACCATTAGACAGCAGAGCCAGCCAGGGCCTGAGGAAGTGGGAGGAGAACACAGATGCTCAAGAAAGTTTTGGCATCTGATCTCAAGCCTCCACATGACTGGGGAAGGCTAGCGGCATACACTGCTTCAAAGTTCCTACTAACTGACCTGACTCTGAAGAGACATTCCTCCGAGATAACCACTGAACAGACACCATGGCCAAGGCCACATAAAGGTAATGGGAACTATAAAATCATGTACAGTTTTAGTACCTCTCAACTTTGCTTGAAAGTATTTTGCTTTTTACATTGCTCATGTCTTAAGTGTTTTCTGTGACAGCTTGTTTGCTATATTGGGATCTGTCTTGGAATTGCTGACAGCTTCATTCAGGACATTCTGCACAGCAGTCATGAGATTTAACTGCTTCCTCAAGCACTGCACTTTAAATTCTGATTCCACAGATGAAAGATAAAACCAGAACATGATCCCTTTCTACCTTCTCCCGTCTTAGCATCTGCCCTCCCTACTGATTTGTGCTTTGTGGTTGAAAGAACAATATATATACACACATGCAAATACATAGATATACATACAGAGCAGCCCCCATACTGGACTCTTGTAGACTCTAAAGGTTTCCTGTGGAACAAATCACTACAAGCCTTGCAATGGTAAGATTTCATCTGAGTCTGCTAATGAAAAAAGACAAAACCCAAGAATAACTGACCTGCTGGGTTCTTTTCATCAGGCTTGTAGTGCATGAGACGAAACGGCAGCTCTGTGCCCACTTCACTTTGAGAAGAAGATAGAATGCATCAGATCCACAGCTCCATTCATGCCTGATTCAATCCCCTTCCCACCTCAGGCCAGCCCAAGCCCTGAACTCCAGCTTCACTGATTCTTCCATCTTTATCTAATCGTAAGTTTCTCCTCAAAAAGAGTTAAACTCTGATTTACCCACAAATATCCCAGATACATCCACTTTAATAAACTGCATTTATCATGTACTTGCATGTACATAAAAGCAATGGTATTTCTGTAGGTGCTTCATTTTCACAGCTGAATGCACAGACTTCTATCAGCTGAACGTATAGTTATGTTTTTCAGGGAGGTGGGAAAGAGAATAGGTAAGAGGGTAAAAAAAAAAGACAAATTATCAACTATAACTGCATGGTCTGAAAGGGAAGATGACATTTACCTGGAGGTGAGGTCTCCCAGCATGCTACAGAAGAAAACAAGGAGAAAAACAGAAGCATATTTAGTACCTTTCCATTCTGGTGCTCTACCAAATGTTTTATTGGTAGACTATTAAAATCACCTTCCTCATATACTCTTCTCTACATGCTGCAAAGCACAACATGCAAATAAACTTGTTCTTAAAAAATGTAACTTTAACTTTTCATGTCCTTCCCATGAAGAACGTCTAAGTTTTGAACTCCTGACCAAGTTTTGGGCACGGCTCCTTTTCTGACAGCCAGAGGGCAAAAGCAATTGCAGGACTACAGGAGGCAGTCATTTTATCATGTTTTAGGCAAGTCATTGCCTCATTTTTATACCAGAAAGAAGGACAGATGAATGAAATACAAATGTAAACAGTGACAAGCATCACAGAGTTGTTGTCCTGGTCTTCTTTGGCACTCTATGCTGGGAACTATTTCGTGCTAGTAACATGAGCTTCTCCCAGAAAGCTGGGTCAGTACAGAACACTGGTATCTATGACTCACAGTATTTAGGACTTGCAGGCAGATGTCTCTACCTCTGCTCTGGAAGAGTAATAATGACAACATAAAGCCTCACATGAACTGCAAATGAGAGATTTGTACTTCAGCTGAAAAGTCATCTGGTATCTAAGGAAGTTAATCCAACCCCTCTTGCTCAAGACAAGTCCTTTGGATAGGCCAAAATTGAGTACTGGTAAATTTCTGCTTTAGAGGATCCTCATGTCCTATAGCTGTGCCCTTTCTCTTGGGGTACACTGTCCTGCCCTCTCCCCACTTGTCAATGAAGTACACACACTCCCCTCTTAAATCTATGCAGAAGCAAAAAGTTTGATACTCTTACCCTGGAACAGTGAGCTTCACTTTAACCTTGTAGGAAACCAGAATCCCCATCACTGTCCTGTCTATTCCATCCTTAATACTACCAGAGAAAACAGAGCAGTGTCAGGTGGCAACAGTGCAACATAGCAACAATGTACAGCTGGAGTGAGAACTAGGTGAACATCCTATTCTCCTGAAAGTGATAAAGCAGGCAAGGCTCAGGGACAGCTAATACCTCTCCAGATCTGTGGTCACTAGTTAACCTAAATGAATATGATAGAGTAAGTAATGCAACTTAGATGTACCCATATGAACACACATTTACAGCTACAAACTCCTGATAAAAGTGTCTGCTCCATCCTCCCCTTTTCTTTATAACCCTCCATTTAAAACTCTACTCACATAGTACTAGAAGCCAAATTGGTATCCTCATCCTTTAGCCTTCCATCCAGAGCTATTTCCCGTGTCTCCCGGTTATTTGCTAGCAATGGCAGAAGTGTCAGTGTCTTGGTCAGACTGCTGTTTGGCTGCACCTTTTCTCTGAAAATAAGAAGCAGGTGAGAGGAGAAAAGTGATACACTCAGAATTGTGTTGCACACCCAACCAAAAGAGATTACAAAGCCATCCAGAAGGAGTGGGATTTATCTGTCCAAATTCCAAATTGTCTACAATGCAGATGTCTACATCTAAGCTAGTAAAAAAATTCCCTAATCACAGAGGAACAAGCAGTTGTAAAAAATGATCCATTTCACATTAAGGAAGACTTCTAAAGCAGGTCTAAACTATGCTGCAGACCTCCAAATTTGGACAAAATGTATCCTAGTTGAGAAGACCAATTCTCAGTGAAAAACATGTCCCTGAGCTATAGAGCAGAAGACCAGAAAAGTGGAAGTGCCTGGTGTGTCTAACCCTCCTCACAAAGTGAAGTTCAATGCTGCACTGTGCACTACAAAAGAGCAGGTGGCTCCCCACAATGCCAACAGGCTCATGGTTTTAATGGGCTTTCTAAGACCAGAAGAAAGCAAATGAAATGGTGTGGAAGAAACTAACCTCAAGCTAGATCATCCATGACTTACACCCAAACAGCAACACCTTTCAGAAAAATGTTGCATCTCTATTTAATACAGCTTTCAAGCAATGGGGAGCCTTCCACAGCCCCTGCCAAGCTTTTCTAGTAGGTAATTACTCTTCAAACCTCTTCTGCAAACTCCCCATTCTCTGAATAAAGGTGCAGGGTCCCTGCTGGTTATGTGCAAAGGAGGCCAGCTGCCTGCATCCAGACAGTACAGGTGGTGTGGGACACACACACAAAGAAAGATGAGAGGAGAGAGCATTATAATAGTAGGCAACTGCCAGACTACAGCTAGGGGTACCTCCCATTACTGAGGAAGAGGGTAATTAAAAGGGTGTGAAGGAGCAAGAAGGGATAAGCAGAGCATTTACTCACTGTGCTTCCTCAGAAGCTACCACTTTTGTATAGAAATCACTGGAGTACAAAACCACATTGGCAACCTGCTCCACTGAGTGAGAAAGAGGACAATCAGTTTTGCATAAGCATCAGAAACAACACAGCTGCTCCCCTAAGTCTTGGAATGGAAGAAAGTATGGGGAAAACAGGAAAACTCATCCATTTGGAGCCTGAAGGGACCACCAGGTCAGGCAGCCTGGCCTGGATAGAGACCAACAGCTCAGAAATGGACAAAGTCTACCTTCCTATCTTCCCTGAGAGGCACTCAGTCTTGATTTAGAGAAGACAAAGTCCACAACCTACAGTTTCCCTTGGGAGCCTACTCTTCCCATTATAAAGATCTTCCTCTTTCTTCTCTAAGCACATCTGCTTTCATCTCTGGTCACTAGTATCTCTTGTGTATCTATAGCCCACACATTTGCATTCAGGAAACACCATCACCAGGCAGACTGCAGTCAAGAGCCTGTGATATAAATAGCTTATATTCTCCAATCAAACACAAAAACCCTGAAACAATGGTGAGGAGAAAATATGGGGACCAACGAGGTCTTTTTAAATCTGACAGAGGTGTGTCAGCCTAAAACATTTGGCAATCACTAGACAGTACATCCAAGACCAGCTCTGAACTGGCTTTTACTGCTGTAGAGTTCTGTAAAAACCTCAGCAATGTTGTTCCCTCCCTGACTTCTCTTTCTCATACTTTGTGTCACAGTCTTCCACAGGTCCAAGTGCAATGGGGTTTGTGGAATGAAAACATGCAGTGCCACAAGTAAAACACAGGCACAGGAGAATTCTCTGAACCTCAGCCCCTGCCCACAGCTTCCTCAGGAGAGGTTACACCATCACTGGCAGAGCAGCCTTTCTCACTTTGCCAGGTATTTCTGAAACCCCAAGCAAACTTGTATGCAACCTAAGGCACAATCACACTTAGCAGGAGCATCACATTGACAGGAGAGCCCTTCCCACTGGCCTCCCAAAAGGTAGCTTTTCCCTCACAGCATCTGACCTGTCCTAGAGGCATATGTCCTTGTACTAGAGGGGACATACTGGTGCCTGAAATTAAGCCATAGGAGTAACCATGAGTCAGGCAAAAAGCTGTAGTTTATCACTTGATGAACAACAAAGAAACAGAAACACGGTGGAGGGACAAATTCCTGACTTGTCCCATACTGCCTGCTTAAGCTGTTGCAAGCACTGGTTTCCTCTCAGTCCTTTCATCATTCAGTGTTCTTGCCCTCAAAGAGCGCCAAGCAACAGTAAAAACATACCCTGGACTTGGATCTTCTTCACTGTTTTCTCTGTGCTGTTATTGATCATGACAGTGACTGGAATGGGCTCGCCATGGTAATACACCTGGAAGAAATGTGATGCTCAGATATCCAGCCAGGAGGCTTCTCCTAAACCCTAAACCCCTCTAGTCATCCCAGATTAAATGTCCTCACAGAAGCCAGAAGACAAAATGCACAGAAACCCTTCCCAATGATTCATGACCCTTCAATGATATATTTAGCCTCAAATGTGTCTGGTCTCAGGCTCTCTTAACAGTAGCTACTGACAGAAAATACATCAGAGCCCTTAAGTGGTGGGACAAGTCAATTTCAGCTGAGACCATTCGAGTAACACAAGAAGTAGCTACTACAGGCAGCAAAATGCATATTGGCATGCCAATACTATGATGTCCACAGCCCAGGGCAAATTCCTCACCTCTTTACTGAGACAAGCTTTCAAGTGCAATGGCTTTTTGGACATGAAGAACTGCCAGGTGGTCTCTGCACAAGGTTGAGGTCCTGGCTGTTCTGGAGCATATTGCACCTTACGGATCAGCAGACGTGCAGAGTTCCTGGGAAGCAGCAGAGGAGAATGAGGTGGTACTTTGTGCTTGGCAGAGGTAGGAGTTCTGCATTCACATGTGCTAACACCCAAGAAGTCCAATGACATGTGGGGTAAAGCTGAACAAGCAACCAAGGTGCACTACTGGACCAACAACCCATCCCCTTTAAGAAGGGCGAAGTTGAAGACACACAGGTTCTGTTACCTCTTATGAATTCTCTCTTCCAGATTCTCTGTTGAGAAAGCTTTCACCTCAAAGTCCACCCCACAGGTCTGCCAGATAGAGAGAGGGCAGCTGTGAAATCATTGTCAGAAGCCAACAACATCTGCAGATGTTTAAATATCTTTCTGTACACCAGAAATTCTTAGACTCCTGCCAACTGCAAATTCTTCCAGCCTCCTACCATTGTAATAGAGACCCCTGCCAAGCCGTATGGCAGCATCCACCTGTTCCATGCTGCTTCTGGTAAATGAAGCTTAATTCCCAATCTTTGTCAGATAATATCCTTACTCCTAAAAGGTTTTCTGTGAGAGCAGTGCTGTAGTGGTTACAGCATGGTATGGGTTATGAGACTGACCAGCATACAAGGCTCTCCAGTCCACCCCGGGTTTCTGAACTGAATTTCTCAGTTGGCTTTATAATGCCAATCACCTGACTCAGGGTCAATCTTCATCTTTCCCAGTGTCTAAGATTTATGGGTTTATACCACCATGGGACATCTGTGATTCCCAGATAACCCTCTACAGAGCAATATAGAAATTTTTGCTGGAATATCATCCCTTGACAAAACCCACAACTTATCCTTGGATTCTGCTGGATTCTACAACCTGTATTCACCTTGCCCAGCTGTTAGCCTAGCCCTGCTGTTCAGAGAAGCACCCTGCTAAGCAGAAAAGGTCTATTTTAAATGGTGTCAGAAATCTTGCAGAACGTCTCATTATGACTTTTACTCCAGGGTTTTTGTTTTGTTCAAACACATGTAAAGGCCAGTCCTCTGCATTTGTTTTAATTCTGAAGTAAGACTTAACACATGCTATTTATAGAGAACTAGGAGATTTTAGGCACTCTGTCTGCTTTTGTCTCATGTAGCCTGACAGCTGCAATCATTTTATGCGCAGTCAACCTCCAAAGCATGTGGTACCCTTAAGGAAACTACAAGCTTTGCAGATTCAGTAGTCTTGCTATTAGACTAGATTCCCTTTCTTATTCGGAGAACTTCAGCTCCATGACACTCACTTGCAGCTCTTAAGTCAGGTTCCTGACATTTTTGGCATAGCACAGTAAAACCCATTATCACCTCAATTTTTTCTCAAGCTAGCCAAATGAATTCACATCAATTTTTTCCATCTGACTTTCCTCAACCATGTTAAGCAGAAGTGTCCCATTGGTCTCACCTTATCAACATCATGAGGTGCAGGCTGCAGACAGACTGAACAAGGCAGGTAATCTGGAAACTGTGGGAGGAAGAAGAGAAAAATACCCCAAAGCAATATTACACAGTTAATTACTGTAGTTAACATATCGCTCAGAAAAGATACAAAGCAATCCTGAAGACAACAGGTCCCTCACTGTAATCACAGAATCAACGAGGTTGGAAAAGTTCTTTAAGATCAAGTCCAACTGTTCCTCAGCACTGTCAAGGCCACCAGTAAACCATGTCACTGAGGGCCTCATCTACACTGTTTTTGAACACTTCCAGGGATGGTGCTTCCACCACTGCCCTGGGCAGCCTGTTCCAATGCTTGAATTTCTGTGAAGGAATTTTTCCCAGTATCCAGTCTAAACCTCCCCTGGTGCAGCTTGAGATCGTCACCTTGTGTCCTATTGCTTGTTATCTGGGAGAAGAGACTGACCCCCACCTCCCTACAACCTCCTTTCAGACAGTTGTAGAGAGCAATAAGGTCCCTCCAAAGCCTTGTCTTCCCAGACTAAAGCACCGCAGTACCCTCAGCCGTTCCTCATAATACTTGTGCACAACTTTTTGAACTTCTGGCTAGGATAGGGGCCTTAATACACTAGGCCTTATCTTGCCTTGTAGGAACACATTCCTCTCTTCCAGAAATACTTCAATAGCAAAAAAAAACGGGCAGGGGTCAAAAGAGAAAAAAGTTCAAAAAGCAGCTGGTCTAAAAATCAAACAGAGCCCTAGAAGCACAGTCTGGAGTAGAAGCTACCACATCTGCCTCCTCATCCAAGATACTCAATACACCTCACAGCAGTGGTACTCACTGTTCATGTAGGCTTGAAGCTTGAGTAAAAAGCGTCCATGTCAGAAACACAATTAAGGCCATGAAAACCAGCCAGCCACCAGCCAGTATTCATTTGCTCCTGGCCTGGGCAGGGCCAGCAACTTCTGACATCGACTGGGAAGGCTGCAGAGTAACTCATGGGGACTGAGTGCTAACACCCTGTTAGAGACTCCAGCAGTTTGAAGATCACTACTTGTACATTAGTTGTTAATAACATTGCAGTGGATAACAACTAGGCAGAATTGTTCAAGGACTTGTTTGTTGCTGTATCAGAGCATCTGTTTTTCAAACCTGGGCCTTCCTAGGGAATGCTAAGGCAGACGTGTCACTGACAGTACTGGAAGCATATCCTATCAGAATCAGAGTTTGGCAACGAGCTGTTATTTTTGAAACATCTGGTAAAGAGCTTTTCATCCACTTGTTTGATCCATAAAGTTTTTAAAGAGAAAAAATCTAGCACTTCTGTGAGCAGTGAGGCAATGGTAGAATGTATTCCAACCCTGATAGCCATTGCGTATTTCCTTCTCTTTTCAAGAAAACGACTTTTTCACATAGTTAGGATCTTCTTGCACTTTACCACTTAGGACAGCAAGAAAATAAAAATGGTAGATTGCCTGTAACTCAATATTGGAACATTGCATAATATGAATTCACTGTTAATCCCCGTCTTCTCTCCATCACCAAGTCTCAGCAGCCTGATAATAACAGGTAAGGAGAGGAGGGTCAGAGGCTCCTATAAGATACTTACTGTAAAGAAAAAGGGATAAGCATTTTTCCCCAGCTTCTTTAGCAGAGATTCCTGCAAGTGGGAAAGAGTCTCTGGCTTGTCAGCAGGTGGGTACACTTGGACCCTAGAGAAGTATAGGTCCCGTCGGAAAGTGAGGCCAATCACATCAATGTCTTCCCGGCCATACCGGAAAGCACAAGTCAGGGACACATACACTGGAAAGAAGGACATGATGGGTAAAACATGCAGCAAGCTAACAATGCAGCCAGCACAGGATGCAAACTCTTCCTACACTACACAGCCAGGGAAATCCATTTTGACAGTGTTACATAACCTAGCCAGTACTTATACCATCTGTAAGAAAACACATTACACTAAGTAAAAAGCCCATTCACAGGGAGGAAAGTTACATTTGTACCCTTAAAACAATAAAAATAAGAGATTCTATCTCAGCATCTCACTTCAAAAGAGGACTGACAATCTCTGAAACATACAGTGCATAAAACCTCAAACCTTTTTTCTCCTTGAGAAGTGTAGGATCCACCAACACAACACCATCTGAAAGAAAGGAAAAAATAACAAACATTATCAGAGGATAACCAGGGTTCAGAGAGCAGGAAGGGCAGCACATATCCTTGTGGACTTACCTACAGGCTCCACACTCCCTATGTTGTCAACAAAGTCCCGCTTTCCCAGGTAGATAGTCAGCTGTAGGGAGATACAAGACCATGGTTGAACCACAAATTGTCGATGGTTGTGCGTCTGTGTGTCACACAGATAGACACACAACATACAGCGATAAATCTTGTAGAGATCAGAATAATTCTATTTTAAATGGATTTTCTTTTCCAGCAAACATGCAAGTCACACCAGGCAATAGAACTATTTACATGCTTCAGGACATCAGAATTGAAGACCAGATGTAGACAAACTCAAGAGTACAACATTAATTCTTGTACACAGGACAAGAAACTATAAAGATTTTTGGCACCATCAGGCTGGAAAGACACTGAATTACCTTTGTTTCTTGTTAAACATCTACCAGCAGGAGTACAACCCAGGAGTAGAGAGAGGCGAGTTGCCTTCCTGTTGTATTATGAGAAGCTTGGCCTATACACTCTGTTTACATCATCTTCTCAAACTTAGCACTAAATATAGTTCATGGTCCTTCTTCAGAAAGTAATGAAGGAGACAGGAAATAACTTTCTAATAAGTCTTTACTTGTCTGACTACAAGGAAAACTCATACCTATATAAACCCATAGTCACGGTACTTACAGCTTTGTCACGGGTGCTTTTTCTGAAGATAACTTGTTTTTGAGAACCAGCATTCTTCCCATTTGTCTTTTGAGACTTGGGGCAGCTCATGATCAAAGATGGGTATGTGACTGTGGGTGAATGAAGATTTGCTGCCCCAAAATGCCCTGGGAAAGATGTCAGAAGAAAACAGGTGGATGAGACAAAAGCTGAATTATACTTAGTGGGTAAAGCACTCTATGCTCCCATGCATAGTTTACCAAAGACTCCTCTCAATAGGTACTCACGCACAGCACAGAAGGTTGATTTCTTCTTATTCTAGCAGTTCCTCATTAAATAAACCCTGTAACAACTATTTAAAAACAGCTCTTCGGAAATACTACAAAAGACCAAAAACTCCTTCTAATTTGTATTTAAAAATTAACAGACTAATAGAAAAACCTGGAGGGGAAGGGATAGCTTGGCCTTTGCAGAGAGTTTTGTAGTGAGTAAGTTTGTGAAGAAATCTAAAGGTAATAAAGGTAATCTGATCAACACAAGGTACTTTGATTTTCAAAAGTTTCCTCAAGATTTGTCATCAGAGCCTCTAAGTGGTCATAAGAAGGAAGGACATTTCACTTGTTAACAATCAGATAAAATACAGGAAATAACAAATATCAGTGCTTAAGGGTTTTGGCTGCTTTAAGGTGTGTGGGGGAGTGGTTGTTTGGCTTTGTTTTGGTGGTTTTTTACCACTACAAGTATTCAACAGTGCAATGTCATCTGTCCTGGGACAGCATACCCTTGAATGAATGGAAAAAATCCTAGATAAGGGGTGAAAAGTCTGCCCACAGACACAAAGCTGTTCTGGATTCCCCAAAATTAAGCTATGTTAAGCTGGAAGAGCCCTTCATGATGCAGATGGAATAGGTGATGAAATCCTGTATATTCTATAATGGTAACTGAAAAGTATTGCACTCAAGGAATATACAACTATAGTCTGACATGTGCAGTTACACTTGGTATCACGTCAAGAGTGTGTCTTGATATAAGGAGAATAGTTATTAGGAAATAAATCAAGAACACAAGAGAATGCCATCTATACCGTTTCAGAGCTCCTTACATACCCACATCTTGGATACAGAATTTTCAGTCTAAGACTTAAAAGGTGGCATGTATTAATAAGCAGTCAAACTAAACTCAAAACAAGAACTTAACTCACTCATCCTGCTGCATTTTACTAAATCAGAACTAAATGCAACTGGTTACTGGCAGGGTAACACTGAACTCAAATCAGAACAGTCTTCAGGAATGTAACAGTCCAGCTATGGGTCCAGAAAGGTAACAATTATATCCAGGGGTATGATACAGCTTGTATCCAAGGAAAAAAACAGGTGGAATACAATTCTTCAGGGAAAGGGAAATCACCAACATGAATGGATTCACAGAGTTAGATGTGTTCACAGGCAAAAAAAAGGCTTTTGGCAGATAGTGGACAGGACAACCCATGTGCAACCTTAACCCCCTGACTCTGAAGCTGAGGAGCAGCATCAGGAAAGGACGATGCTACACGTGCCCTGTTCGTACGATTCTGCCCATTGGACCTGTGTGAATTACCATACTGTGTTAGAGACTGTTGGTCTGACAGTGTGTGACTGTCCTTCCAGTCTGCTTCCATACTATTTTTCTTCTTGTTTTCCCATTTAAAAACTGTTTCAAAAGTAGAAATAATTTCTAGGTCTTATTTACATGCAACAAACTGTAGAAAAGAAAACATTTCCCTTCTTGGAAAGCTAGGGGAAAGAAGAAAAGTAAGGTTTAAGAATTAAGGACAGACTTAACACACATTTAAGAATTTCTATCAAGTACAGGTAAGTTTTCCAACTCCAGAATAGTATTTTCTGCTGAAAGACACCCTATTCACGCTGTAGACCCAAATAAACAAACCAGCAAATAAAATCAAATACCTTGCTGCGTTTCAAATGCCACAGGAGCTGCCACAGGACAAAGACGTGAACTCCTAACTACTGGAGAAAGATGGATTTTCCACACAGCTGTGTCCTATTCTTCTTCACATCTACCAGAGAGAATCACTAACCTCTTCTCAAACAAGGAAGACAATTTGTAGGGGATTTGAAAGCACGTCCCTCATTGCGTCCCATCCAGGATTTCAAGAATTAATCCCCCACCAAAAGCAAATATTGTACCTGGGCTAAGATACAACTAGAAAGTGGTTAAGTCAGCAACATGAAGCATTACCTAAGGAAGCTCAGATTATTAATGAAGAGGTCTCCAATGTCAAACTCACATCTGCAAAGACTACAGACTTAACATAGAACAGGATGGTTACTGAAAGCAGCTTTATTCTAAAGCTCTTTCTCTATCTTCTTCCTAAGGTTGTAAGCCATCCAGCCTGATAAACTGAACAAAGAAGAGCCATTTATGAAAAAAGGGAGCTCATAAAGCACCAAACCAAGTCTCTATAAATAGATGCCATTATGAAAGACTACCAAACATTGAGAACAATGTGTTATTCTCGTAACGACTATGCTATTTATTATTGCTCCACCAGCATCCCACTGGCATACTGATGCAAAACAGTGTATTGCTAGCTAGTACACCTCCCCTCCTTAATTGACTTACGGAGTGAGGCACAACACCCAAGAGCTAAGACACATGAACAAAGATTTCAGTCAATTTAGCTTTTCTCTTGATGAATGTCTAAGCATAGCTTCCACCACCACCCACCCCCCCCACCCCCCCCCCCCCCGAATTTGGTCTTGATATTATGCACAACAGTATGTGTAATTTTTGGCTTACAAGCTGCATAAACAGCTGCAGCTTTCCTCTGGGCTGCATCTGTTACTTTGATTAGAAGGATCACATGATATCCCATCCACTTGCCAGCTTGAACAGCACCCTCCATCTCAGGCAATCCTGCTGCCACAAATCAAGCCTGCTTTTCTTGCAAACAATCACCAACATTTGCGAATATAGTGGCCTGAGTACACAAGTTATTGCAATAAAATGAACACAGAACCAGTGTTCATCAGTTCTTTCAGTGTTTTCCAAATTCCAGCAATATTTTATTAACTGGAGGTGGATTATTTGGAAAGCTTTATCACTAGTCTGCCTAATCATCTGGCACAGATAAGCCAGACAGCCCTAAACCATGGAAACTCACATGTGCCTGTACTGCAGAAGAAAAGCCAGATCCTGGTTGCACAAAGTAGGGAAGAGACCCTGTAAGTTAACCCACAAAAATCAACACATTTGTTCAGTTATGCAATGCAAAAGCAAAAGAGAGAAGCTGGTTTTGTTAAGTTTGTGCTGCTGCCACTGCAGGATTACTAGTCATTCAGGAGAGGAATGAGCATTCCTGTTGTACCTGCTACTCCTCTGAGGGCCTGGGAGATGCGGGTAAATGCACCACTGCAAACATCTTCAGGGCAGCTTGGAAGCAGCTCTGCCATAACACATGTTCCTAATGCACCCTGATGTCTGGAGAAAGTGCCCACCCCCCGAACCACCTGAAGGGCAGCTGCACCTTTAGCAGAGAAACACTGCAACAGCCACCTCTGCACAGCAGGTACATCCATTCCTCCTGTTCGCTCTGCAGGCTGAAGCAGAAAAAGGAGTCACAGAAGTAAATAAACTATAGGGGAAAAAAATGGTTACCAGAATTTCCTACATACCTTGGTCCTACGGAATTTTAATCTAAAATGCTTAAGGTCTTAGCTAGCTAACCCTTATCCTTGAGTTTTATTAACCTACTACGTAACAGCATCAGCAGGCAAAACAAAGCCCTTGTGTAAGACCTGCACCCATGTTGTAGAAAACCACAAATGTAGCAGCCTGAGTTATAAACATCCTAAACCCATTCTGATCCTCCCCAGTACAGCCTGCAGTTTTTATTATGTTAATCTCCCAATAATCTTTCATCATGCTGACTTGTCATTTAGTGATCTGCTTTCCTGCAGTAACCAAGGTCACCTGGACTCTTGGTAGGTGCCTTTTCAGGACCTTCTGCCACAGCAATAGGCAGAACAGAAAATAACTTGTCTTTAGAAATGCTTCAGAATGCCGAAGTGAATCTTTCCATTGTTGCTACAGTTCTCACTTCCAAGAGCTGGACAGAAGGCTACTTTTCTTATGGAAACAGGAGGGTGGTTAGTGACGGCTCTTAGTTACGTATGAATTTGTATGTTGAACAGCTGAAGCCTTTGTTTCGTTACTCTGAAGTAGGAACAAGAGCATTATCTTCAACAAGGGTTTCTGTGTTTTCTAAAGAAACGTGCAACTCCTATTCCTGGCTTAGAAACTTCAAAGGTAGCAGTCAAAGTGCCACAGCAGAAAAAGCCTTCTATTTTCAGTGGTGTCTGAAACACAGATACCGATTTCCTCAATTCAGTATTTTATCCAAAACAGCCAAGAACACATCAACCTTCCAAGGATAGAGGCATTTGTTCAACATGTTAAAACTACCTTCAGTCTCAAGGCAGCATTCCCAAGACAGGGTGAGAACAGGTGTATCTGCAGGATGGCTAGCTTCAATCTAAGAGCATTATCTTCTTTCCTGCTCTACGCCAAATCCCACAATGCAGCTGAACACAAATCCACAACTCATCAGGAAAACAGCACAGGAAAACGCATTTCAGGATCCTGTCTTCATTCAGAAGAATGAAGATCTCATTCAGATCTCACACAGACTGAAATAAATGAATCAGGCATTGTGGAGGTTTAAAAGCAGAACACAGGTTTATTTACAATCAAGTTCTTATGGGCAGCTGAATAAATAAAAACTTTGCCCCATATACTCTAATTCCCCTCTGCAGAAAGTGTCTGAACAAAAGGCTAGGTTAGAGAGATGCCTGTTATAGCAGCTGCCCCCTAATCCAGTCCCTCCAATGAACACACTTCCTTAGTAGAACACTACCAGGAAAGAAGAAAATAAAGTGCAAATAAAAAGGCAATAAAACGCTGGTGGCTTGTCTTGAGGCCCAGATGATGTGGAAAGGTTTGGCTGGATAAAGGTATGCCAGGTAGCTCACACCCAGCCACACCACGGTTTTGGAGACTTAAACAGGGACAGAGCCAAGACTCCACTCCGTAGCACAGAGAGGGCTCCAGCGCAAATGGGGATATTGCACGTGTGCTCAAGAAGGGGGCAAGTGGCCTGGAACTGCCAGCACCAAAACAATGGATTTGGGATTTAACCCCACTGCTCCCCTGTGCTCTGCTGACAGCCTCCAGGACAGGACGGAGAACAGAAAAAGGGACCAAACATGAATATTCCGGTACTGAAATCACAGTATGACTACATTCCTTATCACAGCAGCACTACAGAAGCTCAGCTTCTCTCTCCTCACATCCAGTAACCAAACTGCTTGTGGAATAAAAAGATAAAAATCTCCTATTTTGTAATACCCAAGGTGTTGAAGGGCATTTTAACAAAAGGGTGCAGAAGTCCTGAACAATGGACCACTGCCTTAAGAACAGGTGAAACCGATACAAAGAGTTCACACAACAGTGTTGGAGAACCTGTGTCAGAATCAGAACAGATCTGAATTGATCTGGCAACTCAAAGGCAGAGCTGCCGGAACGATGGGAGACTCTTTAAAAGCTGTTCCAACACTTCAGGCTGCCTAGGACCTGTCGACATTTCAGGATCTTCTCACCCCATGCCTGAACTAGGCCACAAGAACAGAACACAGGAGACAGGACATGTATTAAGTCAGCATACACAGTAACTTCTTTCCAACATTCCAAACTCAGAGGTGCTTGGATACATTTGTGTGACAGGGTATTTGGCACAGCTGACTGGTGAGGAAACCCGTTAGTATCTTCAGCTCCACTTGGTGCAAAGATACTTCATGTAAAGGCATGACTAAGTAGCATTCTCCATCCAGAACAACTAATCTCTTGCCGAGTCCCAGTGCCACAGTGCAGTTATGGCATAAAGAAGTCTCTGACTCAGGCTCCTTCTCCATTGCATTAGAACTTTCCTCTGGAAAGCGAAGCCCATGCGCTGGTTAATATCCCGACTCCAGATGGATCTGGGCTTGGGTCTCCATTCTGTTCAGCCATGGACCAGCACCACCATACTCAGAGGTGTTAGATGCTCTGCCTTTCACCCTCCATCCAGTCAGAATTCAGACCACAGGACAGCCTTGTTTCCTTTGTCCACACTGACCACATGGGCACCCGCTGGTGACCACGCAACTGCATTGATAGGAGAACTGAAATGGAAGTCAGGTATAAGTTCACAAAAACACCGAATTCCACAACAGCACTTAACACTGGAATGAAGTATTACAGTACTCTATCAAAGAAAAGGCACTTTCCCAGCTCTCAGGAGACTTTGGCTTTTCATAAGCGTATGAGATACAGTTTCTTCCGACTATATCAAACGTACCTTATTAAAATCATATCTCAGTTTAAGAAGTTGAAAAATAACAAACCCAACCTTAATTCAAGCTATAGAATACTGCCAGCAATCCATAAAGAATCTACATATTAAGAATTCTGACACGCTAATGTAAGTTGCAGAGCTGTACAAGTGTAATTATTCCATAGCTCAGCAAGATTCACAACCCAGATACCTGCTTTAGATCATATGGCCAGCTTCCCCTCACCTGTGATGCTTTGTTAGTGTCCTCTCCAATTTCCCAGTGAGCACATTCCAGATGTAAAGGGCCCCATCAGCTGAACCAGCAGCCACATAGTTACCGTCAGGGCTACGAGATCAGAAGGTGCAGAAGGCAGAGAACAATTTTCAAGTCAGCAATTTATCAGCACACGTAATCACTTCACCAGCAGCTTCCTAAGCAAGCAACTCGGCTTTAAAGTCTTCCAAGAGTTATGTATTATTACCAGCTGCTAACACTAAGAGGTGAAAGCCCTCTAAAATCAGAAAGTTTCCAACCTATTGGATCAACACCTACAGATATACTCTGTCTTGACCAAAAGGTAACCTTGGCCAAATCATGAACTCTGCCCCAGTTATTGTACCTGTAAATGTGGACAATGCAGCCAAGCATCAGAAATCACTACTTTTGCTGGGGGAAGATTTATCAGGCATCTTGCTTACATATCTGACCTTACCTGAACACAACTCTTGTCCAGTCAGAGCCACATTTGAATCCCTGGGCACTGAAAAGTTAGAAGAATCAGATAATTATAAGCTCATTTATAAGCAGATGGACTTGCAGGTTTTCACTAAAGAGTATGGTAAGGATTTCTACAAGAGGTTTGGAATAAGCTCTGGTATCCCTTTATCACAATTTGCATTTCTCATACACCAACCCTCAAATGCATCTGAAGAAATTCTTTCCTTCAGGCCAAAGACTTCTAAGCCAAGCTATCTTCTTTAAAGAGATAAATGAAAAGACCCAACAGAGCAGACCTTTGCTGATAGGCTTGAGAGAACTTTGCTACCCATGTAGAAAAATATCTTGGAAACTGCTCTCTCCATGGAGATACTTAAAAACACTCCAGTACTGAGAGCAATCTGCAATCCAAAAGCACTGAAATTCATAATGTTCTTGTGGAGAACACGCTCACCTGAATGTCTGTTTGACAGCACCAACCCGTAGATCAATTATCTTTAGCAGATCATCACGGGAACAGGTCAAAAGCTCTGTTCGCTCTGAGTTCAGGTCCAGAGCTGTGATTCTTCCAAGCAGCTCCAGTTCTTTTACTATGGTTTCAGTCCTGAAGACAGACAGACA